CAGGTAATTTACTTTAAGGTCACCAAGTACACATAAGATCAAGTTAATACCAAGAAATCAGTAAGTCCAAGGCAACACCAAATACAAAATAAACTATTACTCCATTCCTAGTAAGAATAATCCTTAAAACTGTGCTAGATTGGGTACTAGCTTTGAAGTTGAAAGGTTTGATGTGTGATGATTTGGATGACAAGAGGTAACTTTTTCTGTAATTTATGAGGTTGTTTTTTATGAAAGACAAACTCTACAACAAAACCAATGTGGCTCAAGGGGCAAAACTACTTGTTGTAGGTTCCTAAGAAACATGCTCGTACTCAGAGATCTGGCTGTGTCCCAGTGTAAGTACCTCATAGTCTTTCTGGGAGTTTTCCTATCTAAAAAAGATCACCAGCAAAGTTTCAGCATGTTGTGTTTTTCCACAAAACTTCTCCTGACTATTGGAGGGATTTTGAGGGGTCAGGATATCAATTTAAACACACAGTTACAAGTGCAAAGAATCAGGGCGTTCTCCAACAAGTTACATGTTTTACACACACACACACACACACACACACACAGAGCTGCTTTTTCAACCTTTCCAACTCAAAATCCTGGGTACCAACTTTATAAATCTACTTACTTTTCCACACTTGTATTAGCTATCTAACGTAACCTCTTTAGTTCTATGTGTCTATAAAAGCTGTATAAACAGTAAACTTTCAGAGGCAATATTCAAATGATCAGGGAGTTAAAAAAATGACTTCAACACTGTGACAAACTATGGAGGTGAAGACTAGAAAAGTTCTACATCTGTGGTAATTATCCAGAACAAAAATTTTCCAAGTGAGCACAATTTAAACAGCAGTTGGAGGAAAAAGTATAGCTCTACTAGCAAAGAAAGACTCTTTGCAAGAACATGAAGCGATGTTTGGTAATTTTTATTTTAAAACAATACTGCAAGGACACAAAAGTAAAATCACTACATCTAGGAAGTCACTCTGCCTAACACTGGAGAACTTCAACAGAAGAGGAGTTGGGTAAATTCCTGCATTTGTAGGGTACTCTGTTGTTTTTGTTATGATTTGTTTTCTTACTTCTTTTAAAGCCAGTATCTTAAACAGGAGGTCCTCCTGATCTCTACCTTCTGAGTAGCTAGGATTACAGGCATGAGCCAATATCCTCTTTCTTGACACTGGCAGAGGAAAATACTACTTTAGCTATCACCTAATAAAGTGATCAGGTTTCTTTCCCACCCACCTGCCATCACACCCACACACAGAGCTCCTTTAGCTTCCACCTTGCAAGGCTTCAAGGCTTAGGAGTATATGAACATGGTGGGGAAGCAATCTTCCTGGTAGTTCAGAGCTTCCTGCTGCAGTGCTGAAGACTTTACAAGACATCAAAGAATGAGAAGACAACTGCTATGATAACAATGTTCTAAAAACTTGGATAGTAGTGACAGCTGCACATTCTTTAAAATGACTTAGAAAAATTAGTTGTATTTGTGACAGATGAAATATTATGCCTCAATAAAGTTTTAAGTAATAACCAGGCAGGGGCTAGAGTGGGACAATATAGACAGGAAAAAAAAAAATCTTACTAACTGGAGAAAACTAGGCAGGGTGGTACAACCCTGTTATGCCAGCACTGGGAGGATGGAGGCAGGACAATCTTGAGTTTGAGGCCAGCTTGGGTAACATAGGAAGACTGTGTCTTTAAAACAAAACAGACCAGAAAGAACCAGAAACCCAAGTAAACTATTAAGCATCCCTACATTTTTCCTTTAACATATTGCTTAGGGCTTTCTGACCTTCTTTTCATTCTGCTCTCTGTTATAGCAAAAAAGAAACTAAAAGTTCCCATCCAAAATCACCTATATGACTGCACTTGCAGAATTACAAATACCTGCCACACAAGGCAACAACTGTGAAAGGTGGCAGGTGATTTCGTGGATACCAATTCTCCTTGCCCAAATGAAATGGAGAGAGGAGCACCTAACTGATTCCCCAAGCCAGACTGCTCTAATCCCACTTTATGTTATCTTTAGCAGAGTCTTTACAACTTGTATTACAGTCACCTGGGTACGTGTCTTTATGCTTCACTCGCCACCTCACCCAATGGTTTCAGCAGTATCTTCCCCATCCTAGGAACTTAACACACGTTCTTTGGGATAGATGATAGTATTTTCCTAATCAAATTGAGGAATATCAATTCCACCCACCAAGGGCAAATACAGTTCTGTCAGACTGGACTGTTATTACTTCAAAACTTTTCCTGGGTTGACTGGTTGATGATGGTGACAATAAAGACAAAAATGACCAAAACCTCCCAAATAACCCTGGCTAGCCCACTAGCTGAGGCTGTTAAAATAGGAAGCACCAACACAGAGTGACAAAAGAAATGTCTACAACAGTCAACAAACTATTTTAAAATCACCAACTTTTTCCTATTTCCCAGCACCAGAAATTCAACCACCAGCTTGGTTGTGGCTCAGCAGGACTCTTGGCTAACATGCATATAGCATAGGATTCATTCCCATCATTGCAAAAACAAAAACAAAAAGAAACAAGTTCTCTAACTGCCATCATTAATACTAAGTCTAATTAATACTATGTAGGACAGAAAATGTCAAGTTCTTAGAAAATCTTCGAGACATAAAAAAAATTACAAGAAATGGGCTCAATTTTGAAGCCAGCCTGAGGTGCATGGTGAGACCCTGTCTCAAAAAATTAATTAATTAAAAATCCAAAACAAAAAGAAATGGGCTCAAGAAAAAAAGACTGCAGTAGTATTAGTACTACAGAGAAATCAAACCAAGCTGATGCATCGAGGAAGCCAGTATAAAAACTGTCAAATTCACTTCTCCACAATCTAGGAAAGCCAAAATGTTATTTGCATTCTGAAAATAATGCCCTCTGAAAATATCTAAAACACTAGAATTATTGACAACCAAAATGACAACAGATTTTGTCAGGTCAGAGTATCATGAATTGATAGTTTAAATCCTCAGACTGAAATCTGTGTTCAAATGCAAGTCAAAGACATCAAAATGTTACATGAAGACCCTTGGAGACAGTACTCAAGTAACTTTTTCCTGCACAGACTCGAAAATATTGAACAATTCAATATATTTATTTAGAAACTGAATTTCACTGTCATCTGTGGCTTGAAAAAACTTTAAACCTATTTTTTCACATCAAAACCTTCCACGTGTTTCCAAAAAGTTCATGAGTCAGTTTTTTTTTTAAAAGTACATGCAGAAACTGAAAAGCATTTCATTATGAAGTAATTATTCCCAGCAATAAATCAGATGTAAACTTTAGAATTTGGTTTAAGTTTCTCTTCAGTAAGGTTCTCAAGTTCTTGGGAGTTTCCTCATCATTTACTTGAACACCATCTACAGCAACACTCAAAGCAAAACCACAATAAAGAGGTTTGGCCTCTGAGGGATTCTACATGTAAAAAAAATTACTCATAAATAATATGCCATCAGTATTGACTTAAATGACAAACACATTTTTAAACTTTCATGCCATCTGATGGAATCCCCTTATTTTAAACAGCAAAACAAAATCTGTGAAACCGCCAAAGTGGGGTTTTTATTTTAACTAAATCTACTTTCTGATGATACAAAAAGTTGACATGAATTTACTTAATTAAAAAAAAAAAAAGAAACCCTACTACGGGGTGTGGTGGCCCATGCTAGTAATCCCAAGCACCTGGGAGGCTGAGGCAGGAGGATGATGAGTTGACATCAGCCTGGACTCCATACTGAGATACTGTGGCAAAAAACAGAAGTAAAAAAAAAAAAAAGAAAGAAAACTACTTATAGGAACAAATTTTCATTTCTGGAGTGTTTTTATTCAAACTTTATCATTACTAAGAGTAATTCATAGAACAACTCTACCAAGTAATTGAGACAATTAATCCCAGTTATATGCTTTTAGGTTGATGTAAATTAATCCCAGGTATAAACAAAGCAAAGAATCCTTAACAGGACACGCTCAAAGAATTAACATCCAACTGGAACCGTGCAGTACTGCTAGGCACGCTGGACCCGCCACTAATTCAGAAACCAGTACCTGATGGAGAGAGACTTGACAATCAACTCTTAAGTCCTAAAGGACTCAGGTCCCACCACTTTCACACCTGCCCCAATGCCAGTCCATTAAATGACACCAAGAACACTTTAGCATCAAGCTCCAACGCCTCAGAAATTCCAAATAAAAGACTACAAAATCAGTCTTGACATAATACCAAAGTATGGTTAAATGTTAATTCTAGAATAAACTCATTTTGATGCCACATGGAGTTTTACCACCTTCATGTAAATGAAAAGGAATTCTTCCAACATTCTTTTCATCATAAAGAACTTTTAAACACAAACTTCATAACTGTCGCTCTATACAGCATTTTACACATGCTATATAGACCTCCATCACCACTTTGCATAAGCTGATCAAAGCAGAAAAAACCTGACAGAGCTTTCTAAAACATGCGCTTTATCAAACCCCCAACATTTATTTTCAAGTGCAAGAAAATTAAACACTTTCAGCTCAAGACAGGAAAAGCACAACCAGCTTTACTGTACTACCACCGTTAAATTTCTCTTAGCAAAAAAATAACTCGGGACAAGGCAAATCAAAACCATTGGCAAAAATACCAAGGTCTCCGTCCTCCAATCCATAGAAATGGCTGTGCTTCCCTCTCTCGCCCAGCCAATACCAATAAGCCAAAGGATATAAGTGTCAAATAAATCCACTATCTGCCTGAAATAAGACGAAAACCTGGGAAAATTCCTTCCCAGAAATCTTTTAGCGAACACGAGGCACTGCACCCAACTCGGAAGACACACAACCCAAAACACATCACCCACCCTCAAAGGCAGAAAAGGCTGTGGATCAACAAGTTGGAAAGGGGGCCGAAAGTATGGCTGGGTACCCTCTTCCCCACCTTAAAGAAAAAAAAAAAAAGAAAAAGAAAAAGTCCTTTAACAAAAGATAACGCGGATCTTCCAGTACCTGGTGGAGGTGCCTTTCCTCACATCGCAGATGCTGCATTTGAAAGCTTCGGCGCTGTTTCTGAAGGTGCAGACGCTACAATCCCAAAAACCTTCGTCTGCGGCAGGTTTCGCTTGTCTTTTTGGCCTTCACGGGAGTAGGGCAATGGGGGAATAGGGTGGGAAGAGGCAGGGAGCAGGAAAAAACGGGGAGAGACAGCAAAACAGGCGCTGGTGAGCCGTCGTAATTTCGCAGGAATCCAGCGCTGCAAACTTCGCTCGGGCGGCCGACCACCCACCCACCCTTTTCGGGGAAAGGAGCCGGGCGCCCCCATCGGCCCCCGGCAAGTCCGGGCCGGATCGCCTCGAGCACCAGGCGGCGGCAGCGGCGCCCCGGGAAGGGCCGCGGCGGGCGCAGGAAGCGGGCGGACTTGTGGACTTGAGCGTGGGGCTTGGGGGGGCCGGAGGGAGCCGCGGGCCGGATCTGGAGGGGGCGCGCAGGGGCGGCCCGAGGCCGGCGGCGGGGAGTGGGCCGGCTCCTTCCCTCTCCCCTCCCATGCTCGCGCCCTCCCTCCCTCCCCACCTGGTTAAATCTCCCTTTGTCTGGGAGGAGTGGCGGCGGCGGCAGCGGCGGCGGCGGCGGCGGCGGAGGGCGGCTGAGGAGGAGCCGCCATGGCTGCGGCGCGCCGGCCCCGAGCCGGAGCGACACCGCCTCCCGCCGCCGCCACCGCGCGCCGCCGCCCGCCGCCGCCGCCTCCCCCCCGCCCCCGGATCTCCATCTTAGCAGCACCTCCCCCCCCCCCCGCCCCGGGTGGCTCCGGGGCCTAGTCGTCGCCGGCCCCCGCCCGCCCCAGCCTCCCTCCCCTTCCGCCCCCTCGGCTCGGAGCAGGTACCTGGTCGGGCTCTTCTTGTCGCCCATGGTCATGGATGGGCTGTACCCCAGCCCCCCCCAAAGCCGAAATCGGCGCCGCTCGGAGGAGAAACGCCGTCCGGGACTCGTCGCGGACCGGCCCCCCTCCCTCCCCCGCGCCCGCCCGCCCGCCCGCCCTCAGCCGCTGAGGCTCGAGCTCCGGCCGCCGCCGCCGCTGCTGCCAGTCTCCGGACGAGACTAGTCCCCGCCAGCGCCGCCTCCGCCGAGTGACTGACGAGGGGCGGGGCCGGGCGCCGCGCGTCACGCGCCGTGCGGCCAATGGGAGGGCGGTGGCGGCCGCCGCGAGGGCGGGGGCGGGGCGCGGGGGAGGGCGGGGCGTGGCGGACGTGGGCCGGGCCGTCGGTGTGCGTGCCCGGGAGTGTGTGCGCGCTGGGGGCGCGCGTGCCTGCCGGTGGCCCCACGGCCCGGCGCGGCGGAGCGTGCGAGCCCGGCGGGGCGCACGTGGCCGCGCCCGCGAGCTGGCAACTGGTTTGGGGCCTCGTACTGCGGCCCCGTGGGGCTGCCGCTGGGTCCCTGGCCCCGAAGCTGCTCTGAAGAAGTAGTTCCGTGCAGTTTGCGCGCGCCGCGGGGGCTTGCAACAGCCGCGCCGCTCACAACGCCTCGAGGCTTGCAATTCCCTGGGAGCCGACAGGGCCTCCTTTGGCCCGCATTCCCCCGCGCACTTGTGCTTCTCTGCCACGCGGAGCTTTGTATGTGCCTCCCCTTAAGTCTGCTTCCAGCGAGATGCTAGTCTGAAGCCCCCTCCGCGATCCCCGAACTGGGAGGGAACTCTGCAGAAAGGCTGTGGCGTAACTAAATGCCCCGAGGCCAGACCCGGAGCTGCTTGCTGTGTGCTGACTCCAGCTTGGACAACCCCAGAGCCTAAATAGGGCGTTTCCCTAGAGAAGTTGCTATTCAAATCCTGGCGACCACATGCCAACATTCTAACCTTAACGCCGCGGCTCCCTCCTCTCAAAATGAGGCTAATAACTCTCTTCCTACGATTGTTTTGAAAATTCAGGGACACAATGGATGGAGAATACGCAGATTGGTGCCTGGCACTTAGAGGGGGCTGGGCCTAGCTTGGGCACCGTTTCCTCGCGTTGGAAAATCTTTGAAGGTGGGAAACAAGTAGTACCCCTCACTCTTCGCCCTGTTGCAAGAACGCACTAGCCAGATTGACTTGAACGTGTCTGGGATTCCTCTGTCCTTAGGCTCTGGGGAGACTCAGAAGGGGAAGGACCCAAGGTAAAAGGTACAAGCATGGCTGGGCTGAAGCCCGAGGTGGGGGGAGGGACAGGGTCACAGGATGATGCTGGAAGGTGGGGGTGGGGATGGGTTGTGGAGAGAAGATAAGACAGAGCCTAGGCCGGGTTAACAAGCAAACGCAAAATAGGTTGTTATCAGGACTGCCCCCTAGGAGGGAAGCATACAGGGCTTGAGACCTGGGAAGCTCAGTGAGAGTGGAAACCATGGAGGAGGAAGTCCTAGGATCAGTCCAGGGATCAGAAGGGAGAAAATATAAGAGAGGCATGTGACAGTGATAAGCTTGATCAGCACACGATGTCCTCTTCAGGCATGCACACCAAGGAGGGCCAGCGATGCTGTTTAGCAAGGGTCAGTGACCTCCGAGGCCTCTGCCACAGATGCCTCCTTAGGAGGGAGGAGGGAACCCTAAAGGGTCAGAGATAGCCAAGGGATGCACATAAACCATAGCCCAGTGCCAGCTGCCTTGGCCTCTGGGGTCTGCCTGGCATTCTCCCAGGGCTCTGCCCCCGGTGTGAAGGTACTGAAAGAAAAGGGCATTCAGAAAGCCAACTACCAGCGCAGGTGGCTCATGCCTGTAATCCTAGCAATTCAGGAGGCAGCAATCAGGAAGATCGAAGTTCGAAGTGAACCCACCCCGGGGCAGTAGTTCCAGAAGATCCTATCTGGGAAAATACCCAACACAAAATAGGGCTGGGGGGAGTGGCTCAAGCGGTAAAGCAGTAAGCCCTGAGTTCAAGCCCCAGCACCACAAAAAGAAGGAAAAAAAAGCCTACTGGAGGGCTGAGGATACAGCTCAATGGGCGAGCACTTGCCTAGCATGCAGGAGATCATCCTGGGTTAGATCCCCAGCACTTGGGGAAAAAGAATCCCACTGGAAGTGTGGCCTGGGGTAGCTGGGGACCATAGGTTGTGGAAAGAAAACTGACTTTATCTTATTTATACACAGTAAAATTCACAAATTATTTTGCAGCTCCATGAATATCCACCATTCGAATTAAACTATAGAACATTTTCATAAACCCAGGCATTCAACCTCCCCCCTCCCCCAGATAATCACTATCCCAACTTCTATCAGCCAAGGTTAGTTTTGCCTGTTTGTGAACGCAGTGTCCATGGGTCAGACAGTATCTTCTCTTGTGTCTGGCTGGCACTTTTTGCTCAATGTAATATTTGTTATTCATTCACATTGTTGCCCACACCAAAAGTTTATTTTTCTTTGTTTGCTTAATTGTGTAGAATCCCACTGCCATTTATCCATTCATAGGACATTGACTGTCTTCAATATGTCTTGTCTTTAATCAATGTTACCTTTTCAAAACAGAGATAGTTTAAAAAATGTTTTTAAGGGACTCAAGGTTCCAGAATAGAGAGCTAATTTCTAGGAATTTATTAGGGGATCCACAGATCGTTATGTGGTTGTGACTGAAGAGGCTCTAATTTGGATCAGGTGGTGGAGGAAAATCTCTTTTGAACACCTACTACCAGTTACAGGAGGCGATGAAGCTCCAGGGGGGGGAATGGATCTAGACAGAGGACCCTGTGACTGTCCAGTGGGGAATTTCAACCTGAGTTGGGTGGCAAACAAATCTTCCTTCAAGATGTTGCTTTGGGCCAGTGTAAGCCAAGGGAACAAAGGAGATGCGACAGTTCTCTGTTTTCTATCTCCAGCTTCTGCTTCATATTTCATTTGAAGGAATGGTTCTCCTACTTTAAAAATTATTTCAACCCTGTGACTTTGATGTAGATACTGGTTAGAAACCCTCCCCAAGAAATGCCTGGTGTAAAGGATTCCGCCTGTACATAGCACAGGTTAAAGACTGTATTTGGACTCCTTTCTCCACGTTTACTCCACTGCACCCCCACTGGCATCTTTGCTGTTCCTGGAACAGTTTATTGCTGTCAAGGCCTCAGGCCATTTGCATTTGCTATTCCCTCTGCCTGGAATGCTCTTCTCCCAAATACCCACCTTGTCAGCTACCTCATTTCCTTTGGCTCTTTACTCAAACATCATGCTCTTAATCGAGGTTTTCCTGGTGTCCCACTTTAAAAATTTCACACACCAGCCCACACCTGATGTCTCTAGTTCCCATTCCTGTTTTCCATTTTTCTCTGTGGCAGCTGTCACCATCAACATACCCCACAGTTCATGTCCCTTGTTTAGCAGATCTTTGCCCCCGTAGTAAACAACATCCTTAATGGCAGGGATTGGATGATGTCTAGTGCTTGGAACAGTGCTGATTTACATGAGTTGTGGAGAATTTTTTTTCACCTATTGTCTTGAGCAGCTAGCTACCAGGTGCCATGCCCATACAAGGGATGGAAGGTCAGATAGACAAGACAGGCTTGAGTCCTAATCTTTTGGAGTTTGTATTCTAGTTAAGGTAGCAGACATTCAATAATTGATCACAATTGTGCCAGTTGCTACAAAGAGAAAATACAGTATGCAAGATGAGGGGGCACTGAGGAAAGGAGGGTGTTGATGCAGCTGGGTGGGGGAGAGTTTCCCCAAAAAGTGAAGGTTTGGCCAAGAAAAGGACAAGGCAAAAGCTTGGGGCTATGAAGATTTAGAGGAACTGAGAGCAAGCAACTGTGGTCAGAGTCTGGGGAAGAAGACAGAGGTGGGAGAAGCAGACTCTGGTTAGATCCCATGCACCAGGACAGGCTGGGCTGGGAGGGAGGACTTTATCCTGAATGCTGTGGAAACCACTGACGTGTTCATCAAGAATTTGCCCACCCGGGACTATCTGGGATCTGACTTAGTGAATGTCATGCTGTGAGAAGCAGACCCTTGGGGGAGGGAAAGCCATGGGAACACCTTTAAAATGCCCAGGAGTTGGACAGGGAGGGACAGCATGGGTGGGCCTCTTTCCTTTCTTTGGCTCAAGAAAGAAGTGAAAGTTACTGGTGCACACCAAAGGAAGGGTCTGGAAAGTGATCAACCCAGTTCCCTTCTGTCTTCCAGTTTGCAACTATTACTCCCAGGCAGAAAACTCAAAAGCACTGTATGCACATATGAATAATAAATAAATAAATAAGAAAACCCAAATAATCACCAAGGCTAGGACTTTGAACCTTAGGAATGCCCCCATAAAGATATTACAAACAAGCCAGAGAGAGAGAGAGAAGCCTCTCTCCAAATACCACAGGGCTTACCCCTGCCCCACCTGGGTTACTCCTGATGCCCTGAGTCCTATACTGTGGTCTAGGCTGAGATTTTTCCTAATCTCCAGTGAGATGAGGAAGATAAAGGGTAAACATACTCCTGTGTCCAAGAAAATTGTCAATAGTTGGTTCCCAGGAAGAACAATTTTTATTTTGAGATCCTCCCCTTACAATTTTTTTCTTTTCTTGGAGGTTTGGCTAATTCCATTGTCCCTTCTTTAAAGGATTGATGGCAATTGCGTATGATAGTTGCCTTTCTGAAAATGTCATCAGGTAGCCGAATCATCCATTGACAATGTTGTATTGGTTTCCCAACCCTCTCCACTCAATGATTTTATCATTGAAGTTTTCAGGGTACTGAGATCTCAGAGGCTTTAATGAAACTTGAGCCAGTGTAACTGAGGGGAAAAGGAAGGAGAAAACAGTATTAGAAGGGCAGAGACTTCGGAAGGCTGAGCTCTTAAGCCTAATTGCTAACAACTAATGCCCTACTTTGCACGGAATGTTCCTTTCGGTGGTTTAAGAGAGAAAATTGTTTCTTAGAGCAAGTAACCACCTGGAGTGTCTTAGCAACTGGGAGGACCTCGCTCAGTTCCTCAAGGACTCAGGGCACGGTGCTGGTATCTCAGAGGTGCTGGGATCTTGTAGGGGACGTCTGGAGCACAGTGCTGAAGATAGGATCAACTTCTAACAAAGTAACCCTGGAGTCAGGGATGGGTGGAGCATCGCTGACCATCTGTGCTGAACCTTAACCAGATTTTGCAAGCAG